GGGTCACGACCCACAGGTTGAGAACCACTGCTTGACAGTTGTTTCAGCCCCATGTTTCCACCCGGTGCTCGGTGCTGTCTGAATGCTCTTGCCGGTGCTCGGATGAAGACGGCTCGTGGTGTGCAAAATCCGCTCTTCCGTTTGGAGGACAAATAGACAGGTACTGAGGACACTCACCCAGCCGCCAGGCCAAACCAGCGGGGCAGCGTTGCTTTCCATGTAGGCAGCAGAGATAGCCGGTCCTTCTCTGCAGTCTGAGCAGGCCCATGGCCTGCCCGGGTCAGCCCGAAGGTTCTGGCATCTCTTGCTCTCCTGACCCTCTGGGTTTTCTCTCCCTTTCTCCACACTCTGTCCCCAGCCCTGCTGCGGTCCTGCCGGCCCAGCCCCCGTGAGGCCAAGGAGAGAGAGTCCCTGGAGAAGGACATCATGCTAGGTAAGGCAGAGGGGCAGCGACACAAAGGGCGGCCCTCAGCCAGGCGGACTGGCACAGTGGCTGGGGCAGTGGGCGCCAACATACCACAGGGGTGAGGATGGCGCAGGGTCAGACGGTTTCGTTCTGTTGTGCACAGGGTCGCAACCGACCAGAGGGCACCCAACAACAAGCCAGCAGCAGACCCTCCCTGACTGCCTTTGTGGGCGTCTGGCTAGATGCAGGAGCAGTCCGTCCATGGGGTAGGCACACCTCCCAGCCCCCTTCTGTGCGAACAGAGGCCCAGGGCAAACACCCGTCAAAGGCAAATGGCAGCTAAGTCTGGACGGTGCCCAAGCTCCTCCCCGCAGCCTGGAGGTCCCTGGGGGGCACATGGCGTGTTGTGGACAGAACACGGCCGCCAGCCTGAGGCTGTGACAGAACCTCAGAAGCCCCGAGGCCTCTTCCTTCCTCCGACAGAATGCGTGGTCTTGAGGAGACCAGGTAGGAGAAACAGCTTTGTAAATCGGGATGCGACACGCAGCCAGGATGAGTCGGGCTCTTCGCTGAGGTCCTGTTGGATCCCGGGAATGGACGGAGATCAAGGTCAGGAAAGCAACCGAGAAATGGCATCGGACCTTGAGATCAGAGGAAACCAGAAGTCCCGCCTGGGGGCGGAGCCAGGCTTCCGCGTGGAACTAGGTTCTGCCAGACTCGGGCAGCCAGGGCGCTTGCTTCTCTCTGCAGCAGAAGAGATTCCCAGGGCCCCTGGGGCAGGCCTCCCTGGCTGCTCAGGCCTCCCACTGAGCCCCCAGGGGCCACCGGACCCTCCCACCCCCCAGAGAGTGAGCCTCACCGGGAAGTAAGTGCAATAGCTGCTGTGCACAAGCAGGAAGTGGGGATGTGAGGGAGCCCCTCCATCCGGAGGCTGCCGGGTAAATTACCATTTCCTGCTGAAGCCTTACTCCCAGTAGCTGAGCCTTGTGTGAGCCCACGGGGCCACTCCCTAACGCCCAGAGGCTTGGGGCTTGTGCTTCAGCAGATTATAAGCAAGAAAACGCTAAAGCAGCGGTTCTCAACCTGTACGTCATGGCCCCTTTTGGGGTCGAACAACTCTTTCACGGGGGTCACCCGAATCCTAACAGTAGCAAAATGACAGCGATGAAGTAGCAACGAAGATAATTTTATGGTTGGGGTCACCACCACACGAGGAACTGTGTGACAGGGTCTCGGCATTAGGAAGGTTGAGAACCACTGAGCTAGAGGATATTGACGTAAGAAAAGGAACTGGGGGTAGGGGGCCGTCTCCCCTGAACCCTGGGGCAGCTTCAGGACCTGCTGTCTTAGTAGATCTCAGTTTGGAGGCACGCTTCACAAGCACTCTGGCAGGTTCCACGCAGTGCCAGACCGATTATGACACTGGAATGGAGGTGCTGAAGGAGGCCCGGGTCACAAGTTGAGGATTTCTGGTGCTGGCAGTGCAGGTGGAAGACGACCCATTAACCACCACAAGTTACTTTGTGCTCCGGGCAGAAATATCACATGACAGCTAGTCACCAGGTCTCCTTGTCATGGTTGTGCTGCGTGTTGTTGTTGTGTGAGCCTAATTTCGACTCATCGCAAGGAGACAGGACAGAACAGAGATGCACCCTCAGGTTCCGGGGCTGTGATCTTTAGGGACACAGACAGCCGGGTCTTTTTCCCATGGAGCCAGTGGTTCTGAACTGCCAACCTTGTAGTTGGTAGGTAGGTGATTCGTCATTGTGCACCCAGGGCTCCTAGTCCCCTTCCACCCCCGCCTTCCAAGACTAGTCTTCCGTCACCCGCCGGCAAGCCGACTCTTCAGAAGAGTACTGCAGCGTGATTCTGTAGCATGCCCTCCGTTTGGGGCTGTGATGAGACCAGGTGTGGTTGTTACATCATCTGGTGGCAACTTGAGAGGATTAAGAGTGAAGGGGTGGAGGTTAGCCTGTCAATCAGGTGGTTGCTTGATGACCTCATATGGAGGCACTATGGAGATTAATGGCTCGCTGGAGGCGGGACACACACTCACTCCCTGAGAGACATTCCCACTGACGAGACACATGTAGCTACACTAAAGCCCTGGAGCGGCAGGAGCCACGTGGAAACCCCTGCCAGCACTGAGATGTTTCCACCGCCACTGGATCCACAAGACTTTCCACCTACTGGCCTGTGATCCTCCTGCATTTGGTGTCACTGTATGTTTTGCATGGGTCTTTAGAGGAATTTATAGCCCGTATGTTGGATATATGGGCTAATATCGGACTTATGGACTTGATCTGGACTGGGCTGGGATGTTTTCTTAATATACAGTTACTCTTTATATAAAGCTTTTTCTTATACACACGAGTGTACATGAATTTGTTTCGCTAGTCCACCCGGACTAACACACCAGGGTTCGGAGGTGACGTACCCTTGGCATTGAACCACATCAGGGCCGTGTAATATGAGCACAACTTGTCACTGGGGTGAGGGGGTGGGGGGGGGTAGGTGGATGTGTTAACATTCATCACTTGAGCCAAAGCAACGTCTGCAGGGTTTCACCTCTGTGACGTCACTGTTGGTGCTGTCTGCACTCTTTTGCTCAGAAGTGAGTCACTAAGTCCGGCCCGCACTCTAGAAGAATGTGACTCTGGCATAGTGACTTAGGCATTGGGTTTTTAACCGCAAGGTCAGAAGTTCGAACCCACCAGCTGTTCAGCAGGAGACAGAAGAGGATTTTTATTCCTATAAGGAATTATCATCTTGGAAACTCACGGGGGCAGTTCTGCCCTGTTCAGTAGAGTTGCTATGAGCTGGAATCCACTCTGTGACAATGAGGATTTGGGGGTTTTCTCCTCGAAGGAGGGTACTATATACAACATTGTCTCTGTCGGGAACAATGACCCCTTCCCCACCATCCCCTCATCCTGCATTTTCATGACCCTCTTTGCAACCTTCATCAACTCCCCTTCCTCTAAGCTTGCAGTCTGGCTGCGTCAGCCCCTCCTGGTAGGGGCGTCCATTGCCATTGTGCTCTTCTCTCTCAGCCCAATTCTGCACCCGTTGTGGGTGCTGGTGGGTGCCTTCAAGACCCTGTGGACCTGTAGCGTCCCACATGACATGGTAGAACTAACCGCACCATGGGGTTTCCTAGGCTGCAGTCTTTACAGAAGCAGACCGCCGGGTCGTTCTCCCATGGAGCCCCTGCGTGGGTTTGAACAGCCGGCCTCTTGACTAGGAGCTGAGAGATGAACTAGTTTGCCACCAGGGTTCCCTGTCCCAGGGTGGTCTTTGAGTCCTCATTGGAGAAGCGGTTTGGTGGCAGGCTTTGGGCTGAGGATTTAGAGGAGAGTCATTGCATCTCGTCCCTGCAGCGTTCCTAAAAGGAGGCTGAATACCGGACTTATGGACTTGATCTGGACTGGGCTGGGATGTTTTCTCAATATTCAATTGCTCTTGTATATAAACCTCTTTCTTATATACATCAGAGTGTCCATGAATTTGTTTCTCTAGTCGACCCGGATTCACACAAGCATTTCTGCCGCCTTTATTTTGTGAATGAGAGAACTGGGGCTCTGGAGAGGTTACTCCCCCTGCCCACAGTCACACAGGTGGTCAGTGGGCCCCACCCTGCCCTCCTCAGTGCCTGGTCCCAGGGCTGCAGAGCGCCCGTCTGCACCAGGGTTTTCTGGGTGAAAAGAAAGCCTGCATATAGGTGGGAATGGAAAGGCAAAACTGTACACCTTCAAGGTCACGCGTGGCCTGTGGGAGTGAGCCCTGCATCAGAGACTCCACCTGGGGTGGACGAGGACTCCCGCCTCCTCTGGCTCTTCCTGAGTAGCAGTGGGTGCCAGGTGGTAGGTGTTATTGGCTGGCGAGCAGGGCCCCAGGAAAGCAGTGACTGCTTCTCAGCTGTGAGCTCTGGGCCCAGGATGGTGAACGCAGAGAAGAGGGCTGTCTCTATGAGCTCTCACAGAGAAAAGACATGGGCCCAGTATGGGTCTGCGAGGGGCATGAGACACAGCGTCCAAGAGGGAGCCCCAGCCGGACGTGTGGTGTGTGTCTCCACCCGTCCTGGCTAAACGGTTTGTTGACTTCCTGGTGAAGGGCGATCAGAGTCAACTCCACACTGACTCCAGAGTGACATCTCTGGACTCCTGAGCTGCTGCTCCAGTTTGGGGCAGAGATGGACGAGGGAAAGCTGAGACCACAGTGCATGTGGTGACTGAGCCAGAGAACCCCTATCTGACACCAGGGGCGCCTATGCAGGGCAGTGGGCTGCAGCTTTTCAGGGAAGGAGGGGAGAGGGAGGTGCTGACGTCAGGTGTTTCCTTCGGGGCAGAGGGAGAGCTGGACACATATAGCCAGTCACCTGACAGAGAAGCCAATGAGGAGGAGGACGAGGAGTCCGAGGTCCTACCTGGCAGGGGGAAGCTGGATGAATCCTGTTTGTTCCATTTGCTCTGAGATAGGCGCTGACCTGCCACGGGCTGTCGTGTTTCCTTGGAGTGGTTAAATCCATCTGGGGCCTGAGCCAGGAGGCAGCCACTTGGGGGTCTTCCAACCCAATGTCATGTCACACACAGACATGGTCTTCTCCGAGCAGAGGCATGGGGAGGCACAGAGGCTCAGTCTGGCCCTCGCCAAAGAGCGGGAGCAAGCTACAGCCACCCACAGACGCCTGCTGCAGAAGCCTGCACAGCCACCCCTTGTGAGACGTTGTTCCACTGGTCAGTCGGCCAACTCCTTGTGCTCCCGGCTGACCCTGCTGCCCAGACTGGGCTTCAGCCAGTACCACACTGGGTCACCGGGGAAGCCAGCCTGGCAACACACCCGGCTACCAGCAGTTGGCTAGACAGACAGCCGGGCGGCCACGGGGACGCTTGGAAGGCTGCCCTCCGAGGCCAGGGGGCAGCCAGTGCTGTTGCCCAGTGACACGCTGGCCTCCAGGCTTTCTTTGGGGGCTATTCACAGGTGGGCGTCACTGCAGTGTGGTGGGACGGGCACTGGGCTAGCAGTCTGGAAGCATGGGTTCTAGATATTTCTGTGCGCAAACTCAGTGATTTGGACGAGGTGCTCGTTTCTCTGGGTTCCAGTTTCTGTCTTCAAGCCAGGGGGTGGGAGGGTGGGGGTAGGGGGGGTCGTTCTCAGTCTGTACTTCTTAACAGTGAGGTGTCTGGACCCGGGGCATCCACTCCATCTGGGAACTCGTCAGACACACACGTGATCACTGACTCTCTGGAGGGGCCCGGCCATCAGGGTTCTAAGACCTTGCAAGGGATTTGTGAGCACATCCAAGTGTGGTGGCCACTGGGCTAGACAGCCTCCCAGGTCTGTTCCCAGGCTTACCCCAGTTCACTGCGTGTGAGGGGGGGCTGGCGTGGAGAATGCAAAGACGGAGGAAGTATGGCGGAACAGGTTCAAAGGTCACCTACATGCCTCGGATGGCTGACTGCGACTTATTTCTCCCGATGACCCAGCTCAAATGACATGCTTTCTGGGAAACCTGCCCGCACCTCCCCTCCCTTCACCACCACAGCAGGACTAACAGGCCTCCTTGCCTTGCTTCTACAGCACTGGCACCCAGCATGGCCTCTGCTATAGGGCTTTCAGTTGTTTGTAGCTCAGGCTCCCCTGCATTAACGTTGGGGTCTTATGGGCAGCGGTGGGGTCTTGTTTCTCTAGGGTTCCCGTAGTGCTGGGCCGGCCCCTGGCACAGACTGGGGCTCCTCAGTACAGTCTCCATAAGGCCTTGCCAAGAACTCTCCAGGGGCCCACTACCCGCAGGGCCCCATCCTGAGGCTTGCTTGTTTTTGCAGAAGTTGAAGGTTGTGTGCCACATGGTCCCTTCACCCACGGCTGAGCTCCTGGCCTGTCGGCATAGCTCCTTCTCTCACCAAATCTGAAGACACAACGGTAAAGAGGTTGTGCCCTGTGTTAGTTCGGGGAGACTAGAGAAACAAATTCAGACACTCATGTGTAGAGGAAAGAGCGCTATAGAAAGAGTAATTGTACATTAAGAAAAACATCCCAGCCCAGTCCAGATCAAGTCCATAAGTCTCATATTAGCCCATATGTCTGATACCAATCTATAAAGTCCTCTTCAGACTCATGAAACACATGCAATGACGCTGAATGCAGGAAGGTCACAGGCCAGTGGGTGGGAAGTCTTGTGGATCCAGCAGCAATAGAGACATCTCAGCGCTGGTAGGGGCCTCCACGTGGCTTCTCCAGTTCAGGGCACTAGGGTAGGAGGTCCATGTGTCTTGTCACCTGCAATGTCTCTCAAGGAGTGAGCAGAGAGAGTGTCTCCTGCCTCCATGGAGGAAGACAGGAGTTCCCAGAATCCTCAGGAGAAGGCCATGGCCACACAGAGGCCTCATTGGCTATGACCTGATTGATAGGCTAGACTCCACTTTTAATCCTTTCAAATTGACAAACGATTACATAACTACCAAATGCCCTTACTGGCCACCAGTGGGGCAGAGGGTGGGGAGCCCACAAGAGCAGGGACGAAGAGGCACAGCCTTCCTTGGACACAGCTCACTACATCTCTGTGTCTGGCGTGAGCTGCCGAAGCCTCCCCTGTCCTGGGACCACTGACCAGGACACTACCTGTGCCCTTAGCAACGCCCCGCCATTCCAGTAAGAGACATTTGGGAGAAAGCAAACCCAGGACTTGAGTCAGATCAGATCCGGGCTTCACCGCTCACTCGAGGGTGTTAGTGGGCAAGTCCTCAAGTTCTCCACCCCTCTGATTCTTTATCTGTCAACTGTGGTTGGGACTCGGATTAACGCCGGTCATGGGAAGGGATGAGTCAACCAGGGCGCAGTAAAGCACCGATGAAACACACAATATTCCTCTGGTTCCTTGAGGCTTCCTCACCCCCACTATCATCCCCCCAGTCCTGCCTTTCACCGCGGGCCAGACCGGAGCATGTGCCCTGGTACAGACAGAGCTCACAACACACAGGATCCAGGAAGCGGAATGGGAGTAGTGATACCAGGAGGGCAGGCAGAAGGTGTGGAGAGGAGGGGGGGAACGGGGAACCAATCACAAAGATTGACACAGAACCACCCCCACCCCCAGGGGGACGAACAACAGAAACCATGAGGGAAGGGAGACAGAGGTCGGTGTAAGATATGAAGATAATAATGATTTATAATTTATCAAGGGATCACCAGGGGGAAGAGGGGGAAAAAGGAGTTGATACTAAGTCCTCTATAGAAAGTAAATGTCCAGAAAAGAATGATGGCAACATATACACAAACATGCCTGATATGATTGATGTATGGATTGTTATAAGAGTTGTAAGAGCCCCCAATAAAATGATCTTTTAATAATAATAATGAAAAAAGAAGCCCAGGAAGGAAAAAAAAGCAGGTCAAAGGGTCACAGCTCTCTCCCCCTGGTGGTGCTGTGGGTTAGAGGCGGGACTGAAAATCAAAAAGGGTAACACTTAGCACAACACTAGGCCTGTGTTTGGTATTTAATACTTATCGAACAGAACCTCTTTAGCAAGACTCAGATATGCCAGACAAAGCATTAGGAGCCCTGGGGGCCTAGTGGCTACGCGTGGGGATATGAACACACAAGTTCAAAACCAGCAGCCACTGTTCAGGAGAAAGACGAGGCTGCATACTCCGATAAAGAGTTCAGGCTCTGAAACCCCCAGGGGCAGTTCTGCCCTGTCCTGTAGGGCCGCGGTGAGTCGGCATTGACTGGATGGCAGTGGGGGGTGGTTCCGTTTGAGTGGCTCTGTGTGAACTCACTGGACCTCCAGTTCCCTGCCTGTTAATGAGTAACCTGGCAGCCACTGCTGTTATTGTCCTAGGCTGCCACAGAGTCAGTGCCAATGTGTACAGAGCACACAGCTCTATAGGGCTCACTGCTTCCCTCACCCCACCAGCCCCGCCGCTGCTCCGTGGCCAGTCCCTGTGTGGGCGGGGCGTGCGAGCAGGAGTGAGCTCGCAGGGCCAGGCATTTGGTGGCTCGATCACGTAACAGGTATGTGAACCGCTGGGTGAGTGAATCATTAATTTGTCCATTTGGTCAATCATCTAAGTCCTTTAGTCAGCCAGGCAGACAGTTAAGTCACTAGTCACTGAACACCAAGCCTTGGTCCTTGCCCTGCCCGCAGCCCGGTCACCTCCAAACCAAGCCAAGAGGAAAGCAGGGGGCACGGCTCTCTGCATGACTCACTCATTCTGACTGCTGGCAACCCTATCAGGACAGGGTCGAACTACCCTGTGGGTTTCCCAGATGGTGACTGTCCGTGGGAGTAGAAAGCCTTGTCTTTCTCCCATGGAGCGGCTGGTGGCTTTGAGCTGCTGGCCTTGAGGATAGCAGGCAATGCATAACTCACCACTCGGCTCTATAGGGTAGAGTAAAGCTGCCCCTGTGGGTTTCCGAGACTGAAACGTGTTACGGGAGTAGACAGCCTCGTCTTTCTCCTGAACAGTGGTTATTGGTTTTGAACTGTGGACCTTGTGTGTCCATAGTCCAATGTGTAACCACTAGGCCCCCAGGGCTCCTTATTCTTTGCCACTACTCACTCACTCACTCACTCACTCACACACTCACTGCCACCGAGTCAATGCTGCCTCTCCAAGGCTGTAACTGTTCATGGGAGTAGAAATCCCGGTCTTTCTCCCACAGAGCACTACACCACCAGGGCTCCTGTCCATGCCACGGGACAATAACACTTACTCCAAATCTTAAAAAAACAAAAACAGAAGTACAGACTAGTTGACCTAGCAATTCCAATTCTACGAAGGGATTCCATAATTAATCTCATGTTCTGGACAAGTAATGTGACCACGACTATACCTGGAAAACCGGAAATGGCATTCATGTCCATCAATAGAAGTAGTTTAATAAAGTATGACATCTCCATTTAATGGAATAGGAACCTTGGTGGCATAGTGGTTACAACTTGGGCTGCGATCCGCAAGGTCAGCAGTTTAAACCACCAGCTGCTTGTCGGGGCTCCCTACTCCCATAAAGAGTGACAGTCCTGGAAACTCACAGAGCAGTTCCATCCTGTCCTCTCGGGTCACTCTGCGTTGGAATCGACTCGATGGCAGTGAGTTTGGTTTCGTGGAATATTATTTGATGGTGACAAAGAGAAAGGTTGATCTTTGTGTACTGATAGGTCATAATCCCCGTGACAGACTGTGAAATCAATAAAAGTAAGGTTCAGAAGAATGTCTGTAAAACACCATCACTTGTGTCACAATGTGGAGATGAGAGACTATGGGTGGAAGGATGGCAACGTTGCCATCGCATCTGCCCTGGAGGGTCCAGTGAGTTATCTGTGCCCACGCCCAGCCTGCTTGCAAGACCACCTACCCCAGGGTGGGTCTGAGGCCTGGTGGGACAGGGTCATAGTGATGTCTCCAAGTGAATGGTTTGGAAGTCACGTCAGTTTACAAATGGCCCCGACAAGGTACCAAGAGTTGAGTGCTCGGCTACTAACAGAAAGGTTAGCAGTTTGAATCTACCCACAGACATCTAGGACGAAAGGCCCGGCGATCTTACAATAAAACCACAGCCACTGAAAACCCTATGGAGTGCTGCTCTTCTCTGCCACTCAGGGGCTGCTGTCAGACGTCACTGCCCACCATGTCATTTGCTTGTTGTTTTGTTTGTTTACAAACATTTCCGTATTTGCTTGACTACAGGCAGAGCCACAGGTAATCCAGGGTGGGCACAGCCACACCGCCTCTGGCCTTTGTTGCAGCAGTGGGTGTGGGGTCTACAAAGACTTCCTGATGCAGGCGTTCACAACACAGACCCGGTTTTGGTAGGTTAAAGGAGGGGGAGGGGGAGGGAAGGGAGAGGCTGCCAGGAGGATCTGCTACATAAACTGGACACAGGTAAGCAAAGGAGGCTTGAGGCTTGCTAGCCACGTTCGCAGGTATTCCTGCTGCCCACGGGGCAGAAAGAGGGCCTGCATGAGGGAGTCGGGGCTCCAGGCTCCCTCTGAGAGCTGTGCCCACCTCCTGTTACAAAGGAAGGAGACTAGGCCATGTGCACGCACAGCCTGTCAGGGACATGACAGGTCAGACCAGAAAGTGCACCTAGAGGAAATGCATTCCAGAGAACAGGAAGCAGGACCCGGAGGCAGTAGCAGGTCTGGTGGAAAGGAGGGGCTAAAAGCCATCTAAACAGGCAGGGCTTGGCTGCAAGCTGGAAGTTGGTGGTTTGAGGCTGTCCGCTGCTCCAAGGGAGAAAGATGTGGCAGGAGACCTGGTGGCACAGTGGGTAATGCACTCCGCTGCTGACTGACGGTTAGTTTTCTGGTTCCAAACCACCAGCGGCTCCATGGCATTGTGCTCTGCAGAGAGGGACAGCCCCAGAACCCCTGGGGCAGCTGAAGTGAGGTGGGTGGTGACCTAGGAGCACTAGGGAGACTGGAGCAGGGGAGCCCGATCCCAACCAGCAGGCCACTGGAGGAAGTGTGGCCATTATCCCCTCAGGGGCCAAGAGCCCAGGAGCCCCACAGAGGTTTAAAACTCCCTTCGCTGCTGGGTGGGGGACTGGATGACCCATGGCTGGAAAGAGGAGATCTTGGGAGTGTTCCTTCTGGGGAAGAAACAGGATTTTCCAGGTTGTAATGCTGGCTTTCTCCCTTCCCTGCCCTGAGAGCAGGTCATCTCCCAACCACCCCGTGTGGGTCAGTGGGCCATACTGTGGTGGCCTGTGTGACTGTGATGCTGGAAGCTATGTCACTGGTCTTTCAAATGCCAGCAGGGTCTCCCAAAGCGGACAGGTGAAGGAGGACTGGGCTCCCCACTTCAGAGGAGGGTGTCAGGTGGAGAACCTCACACCTACCTTCAAAGTACTGTCAGATACTGAGAGCCTCACGGGTAGAGGCACCACTTCCTGCAAACGTCTGCCAAGACAGGAACTTGGAAGAACGTGGGAAGTGAGAATCTGAGGGACATGCTCTGTTCTGTTCTGTCACGCACACAGGAGTGCAATGGGTCTAACTCCAAGGTCAGCAGTTCGAAACCACCAGCTACTCCTTTGGGAAAGGATGAGATTTGGTCTCGGAAACTCCCAAGGGTCCCAACAATGCTTCCAACCTTCTGTTACTTTCAGCAAATACGTTCTTGTCGGCCCACCCCGGTCGGCCTGTCTGCAGCAAGTGATAGGAAGGGCCCTGGGCCTGATAAGGAACCGGGGGCCAGCTTGGCCTGCCATGGCTGTGTGATTAGCGTGGGGCTGCTCTCAGTCAGAGCATGGTCCCCACAGTGGTGGGACCTCTGTCTACTAGTGATAAGAATTCCTCATGCCTGTTGGTGCTGGGTGACTACACCCCAATCCATTGTAACCCTGTATGGACAAAGCAGAATGGAGCCCCACAGGACTCGGGCCTTTCAGGAGCCACGCATACATGGGGTGGGTTCCACGTGGAGTCCAGTGCTAACAGCTCTGTACACCAGGAACTGTTGTTCACATCAGCGCTCAGTAAATGGGGCTGAGTGGTGAAGCCGGGGAGCCCCACACTGCCCTGGAGACAGGAATAAGCATCGAAGAACTCAAGCAACAGGAGTGGGCAACCCACACAGGCTTAGTGGGTCGGCATTGCATGGAGGAGTGTGGTGGGGGAAATGAGTAGATTCTAGCAAAAAGGCAGGTGACCACTGATCTTGGCTTTCCCTGCTCAGAGACGAAGGGGGTCCCTAGTTCGAAACCACCAGCTGCTCTTCTGGGAAAGGATAAGATTTAGTCTCTGAAAACTCGCAGGGGTTAGTGTGAGTAGAAATTGACTAGAGGGCAGTGAAGAGTCGAGGGGCCGAGACGCCAGGGGAGGGGAAGGGGGCAGGGGCTCGGGCCCCAGGTCTTTTTTCCCCACCACTCTCCCAGATCCTAATATGGAATGAACGACGCAGGAATGTCACCTAGAGAAAGCTGGCTCGCCAACCCTGTCCTGGTCGGGGGTGCATGCATGAAACTACGTGCAGACAATCGAGTTGAGGCAGAGCGCCTCTGCGGGGCGAACCAACCGGTAGTCTGCAGGATAGGCTGCAGGAGGACCCTTGTGAGCACAGCTCCTCTTCTCCCCCTACCCAGC